TATATATATATATATATATATATATATATATATATGTGTGTGTGTGTGTGTGTGTGTGTGTGTGTGTGTATGTATGTATAAAATATACAAAAAAAGAGAATTATTACACCATCACACTTAATTCTTCCAGTCAAATGCTAATGAATAATAGAGAATAGTGGTTGCAATAAAGTTGAAATTGGAATAAAGTAGTATACAGAAGAATGAATTTAACTATGCAAAAAAAGATAATGATTACACACACATCACACTTAATTCTTCCAGTCAAAGGCAATTGAATAATAGAGAATGGTGGTTATCCATAAAACAATGGAAGAAGTGTCTATATGGGAGGGGCTGATAACAAACACAGAGTGAAATATATAGTGGTTAAAAAAACCGTTCTCTTTGTTGAGGTCCAAGCTACACTTACTTCAATTTCTGCTTGCTTCTGTCGTGTTACGGCGTTTGCCATACTCCACAGCCTACTTGTATGAAGATATATTATTCAATTTATTCTATTTAAGAGGGCCCTAAATCTCAGCTAAATTTCTGGCCTCTAGAAGGGTCACCCTCTGTAAATATGGTTCAATTAATCATTAATTATGTCATAACCAAATATAATAAATGCAAAATCTAAGTGGAGCTCAACCTACACCAATCCACATTTTTGCATGCTAATTAATAAGTGTAATTTGAATTATGTAGGCCTACAACAATGCATCTCATAGGCCCACTACAAAAGAAGTATATAACCTTACCTTAAGTGAATGTTTTGCTCAAGATAGTCCTTTAATTTTTGTCTTGAGGAACTGGGCACGTAATATTAAAGAAAATGTATGATTATGGCACCTCTAGATGACCGGAAATGGCAGTTTCAGATATAAATTTGAACATTTTCGGTTTTTTTCCTCCATTTCTTTTTTATAATTTTAGAAAATTATTGGGGTTTCCCTCAATCCAACACTGCCTAGTCTCTTGTCAAATTGCACTATTCCCTAAATGACTACAATTTACGGTACTCTATTACTGAGGTATTATAGAATTTGGCTATTATTAATTTTACGTAGGATTAAAAATATACCGGTCGTACCGTCTGTCGTAACACCGGAAGCTTTCTATTCGCGCGACGAATTCACTCGTGCGTGACCGTCCTCTGCGCAACGTAGACGTTTTTTGAGAAACCCACAAAATTTCATTAACTCATTTAAAAGGATCAAATATGATTAACTTCCAATAGTACACGTCTTTAATTAGAACAAAACAAAAAAATAAATAAATGATACGCGCCATCATTAGAAAAATAGTGCTAATTACCGGTCAGATATATGGCAAGCAAATACTAGGTGAAGTCATGTAGGCCTATATTAGAAGTGAATACTTTAGTAAGACATGTGTATAAGAATTAGAATGTTAACATTGAAACAACTCATTAAATATCACTTTTTCATTGTAATGTTTATACATGACTTAAGACAGTAGGCTACAGTTTTAATAGGCCTATATACATGACTTAAACTTAGTATTTGCTTGTTTGCCATATATCTGACCGGTAGTACATAATCGTAGCATAATATAAAGCACTATTGCCTGATGATGACGTGCGACACGTCGAAACAAGTTGTTTATTAGGCATAGTTTCATTGTTTTTTTAGATGCATTACGGTACGGTACTGCATAGTGTCTATTTTTTTTTAAATGTTTTATTTATATGCATCCGCGCCGTTAAAGAACATTTTAGCTGATAAAAAATTAGAAAGTTATTTATATTTTTATTTATAGCAAATTATGCATTTTTTTAGGATTTTATGTAGGCCTACGTATTTTTAGTTGTTAACAGTATATTGTCAATATTAGTGTGAATACCCACAGTACCGTACTCGCGCGAATAAGCGCCAGGGCGCTTAAAATATTTTTTGCACTTTTTGAAGGGCGCTTATTTGAACGGGGCACTTATGAAAACACAGTGGAAATTGAGGGGGCGCTTATGGAAATAGAAGAAAATCGAGGGGTTCTTATGAAAACTTATTAAATTCAAGAGACACATTTTGAATGAAAAACGATTATATAAGGACATCAGGAAACCGCAACGAATGGTGGTGCGGCTGAAAAGATAATCGTACATACAGAGAGCATTGCTTGTCATGACAAGAATGTTGTGAGTGGTACAGTATTACATAACAGCAGAATAGCAGATGAAATTAGTGATATTGGTTAGCTAGTTGGCCATCGGCCGATTAAGTATAGCAGGACGGCATGATCATTGCATGTTTTCTTGAAAACGTAGATGAGAATGTGCTAAAGGTGCAAATTGTCGGAAAAGGAGCAAGACTAGGCTATAGACAAATGTAAGAAGATGAAAATACTGTATACTGTTTGTCCAGGGAGCTTATCTGTCCAAGATAAATATCCTCATTTTGATATTGACTACAGGAGAATGTGATTCCACTCCACACCTCAAATCATGCCAACATCCACAGTCCCAGGATTGATTGGTTTATTGAGGGGGCGTTTATTCAAACGGGGCGCTTAAGGAAATTTTCACGTTAGGCGCTTATTCGAGAAGGGCGCTTATTCAAACGGGGCGCTTATTTGCGCGAGTAAGCGCGAGTACGGTACTATTTATCCGCAAATTTATGCTTAGTTTTAAGAAAATGTTTTGTTTTCGCTTTCATAAAGCATGGATAATAAAATTTATATATATGATGCAACATTAACACGACGTGTCTTCATACGGTTTATTTGGTATGAGCATACATCATTAAGTGTTCTGGGTGTCGTCAAGCCGTTTCCTCTTCCTCTCGATCATTTGTCAGTTTAGGCTCCTGCGAAAGGGCAAGGCCCCCTGCGTGATGCCAAGCACATATATGGATAAATATCATTCCAAATACGTCTTAACAGTAAATAAAATCATTTCAGATTCCTGTGCTCAAAATTAAATTTGAGAACATTTAATTACAATTGCTAAAAATGAATCACCCTTACCGAAAGTAATGAACTGACTATATCAATGTGGATTGGAAACCAGTACTATTAGGCCTAATCAATTGTGATGTTTTTCAACTCTTGTGTTTTCAATGTTTTATGAGGGACACATTAGAAATATTTTTTTACTTCCTTAAAAGAAAACTTGTTTCATTATCAATCATCATCTTTTGGTTTTCTAGGTCCATAAAATTGTTTTATCTGCCTTAATTGTGCAAATGATGATTTCAAATTGAATGTCAAATGTGAACCAATAACTGAAAGTAAGAATTCTATATTTTAATTAAAAACATCGTGTGTAATTCATCATTTGCTAAGTGTGTAAGTTTAGGGCTATGAAGACAAAGAATTTGTGTACTTTTATTCCACACACACACACACACGCCACAATATAGGCCTACACACACACACACACACAATTGAGATTACAAATTGGGTAGCTTTTCAAGTATGACCTGGCAACGTTGACAGCGTCCCCCTTTATATTGCACATGCGCAGTAATTTGGTCTTTGCGTTGTTTGATCCGTTCGGGTGTGGAGGTGCTGCGAAGCTGCAGTGGTGAAACTTGCTTTTTTTGAACGTCTGAACACAATTTTAATTCTTAGGAGGTGTAGAAGAGTCGGCTGAAGAGTCTTATTATGTCTTACAACAGAGGTCCACCTGATACAGAAGGAATGACCTCCCTGAAAGTAGATAATTTAACGTATAGAACAACTGTTGAAGAACTGAAACGAGCTTTTGATAAATATGGCGAGGTAGGAGACGTCTACATCCCACGTGACAGGTACCGAGGCAATAGCCGTGGATTTGCCTTTGTGCGTTTTTATGATAAACTTGATGCTGACGATGCCTTAGATGGGATGGATGGGGCCATCCTAGATGGTCGTGAATTACGTGTCCAAATGGCTAGATATGGTAGACCAAGTGGTGGACGTCGTGGTGGAGGAGGTGGTGGTGGAGGAAGAAGATATGGTGGTGGTGGAGGCGGATATGGCGGTGGAGGAAGCCGATACGGAGGCGGCGGCGGCGGCAGGGATTATGGTGGTGGCGGAGGAAGACGAAGGTAATTCAAGTCTAAGATTACCGTAATTATTGACTCATGGAATTTATTACAGTATTACTATAATTATAATATTACTGTACTAAACTAGCCTCACCAGACCTTTCCCTCCTAATAATTTTCATTTTGTCGCGCGACAATCATCATAATATCACTGAGCATTTTTGTCATACTGAACAAAGATTTTATGATAGCTTCTGCATGAGAAATGCCTGAAATCATAAACTTTGAAGGCTGATTTCTCATATATTGTTCTTTAAACAGCTGTATGCTTAAATGCTTGTAACTTCATAAGGAAATGTTGGATTTAAATGATTTTTTTACCATTCTGTAACTCTTATTTTACTCTTTAACCCTGTATTAATAACTCAAAATCGATTTTTGCGATGACTGACTGGTTTGGCTTGTCTTTGCCACATATACAAAACTAATTATATTACAATACATATTGTATTATGTATTGTAATATAATGATAGTACATTGGTTTTTTTTTTTCAGTACATTGGTTGTTTTTTTTCAGTACATACTGTACTACATGTATACTTTAAAATGTTAATTTCCAAATTTAAAGTCTCTATTTTAGTTAACATTTACATGTTATGACCAATAAGTGATCAAGTCTTCTAATCCAAGAAAAGCAACTGGCTTGTACACAGGGATGTAATTATGGTTGGCAAAGTTTTCCACCCAACCTGAAGCTAATTTCATGGCCCTCCACCCACCCTTATTACTATACCACTTTTCCATCCTTAAAATTCACTCATATTTGCCAATGTTATCACCCACCATTAGGCGAGACTTTCTTTATACCTTGTTTATCAAACTTGCCGACTGCAAAGATTGATAATTTTGAATAATAATAAATTTTATTTTTTGCCAGTTAGCGCACCCGCCACCACAAAAAAGTAGAAATTACAGAAAAAATAAGTTTTCCTTTATTTTTGTTATGCCCTCTGCTGCCATGAAATCTCCAAAGATGTATATTTCTTCCAAATTATATAAATTTGAAGCATTTAACCAGCCTATTTTACATTCATTAAAATATTTTTTTAAATTTTCTTCTCCATCTGGATTCTGTTTTGGCAAAACTGTTTGCTAAATAAGAAAATAAAATTTTATTTTTACTTTGCCCTCCTCCGATAATCTTTTACAACAATGAGTATAAAGAAATAAAGAGACTCATCTTTGTTTTCTACGGCATGAAGGTACATTTAAACTACATAATGAAAAGACAATCTGCAATATTTTTACTTATTAATTTTATACAATATTTTAGGTCGAGGTCTCCGTACAGACGTAGAAGGTCACGAAGCAGGACGCGCTCTCCAAGCAGAAGCCGCAGTCCAAGCCCTCGCCGCAGAGACAGCCCAAAGCCCCAGTCAAGGAGCCGATCCAGATCTCACTCACGTTCGTCGAGGAAGTCGCAATCTCGTTCTCCTGTTCACTAGTTCTTGAGATAGTGCGCTGAACGTGCTGGTTATTATGCGATACCTGTGATGACAAACATGCCATTATAACCTGTTGTCGCAGTGAGAAGGTTATTCTCCTTTTCATGATTTTTTTGAAGATATTTTAAACAGACATTCATTGATAAATATTGACTTTCCTTATCCAATCATTTTCGGACAGTTATAGTGAAAATGAAAATTTGTATTAATACTCAGTGTAGGTAAATATGGTAATTATAGCATTGTAAAAAAAATGTGCTTTTAAAGAACTACAGAATTATGCATTTTTTAAACCACTGTTAATATACAGTCCTTTGATTATGATTATTATTCTCTTTATTCTTCATTTAATGCAATTTACCTTCCAAATTTAATAGTTTCTTGAAAGCACAAATAGATGTGTACTCATTACTGATGTTTTTTATTTCTTTTTTCTTCAAAGTCAAAATATTTATGATTATTGCCTAGCATGTTCTCTTATAACACTATAAACTTGGTCAACATTTCTAATAACAGGGGTAATGGTGAAACCCAGCTGATAACAATATTTTGCATGTTTGTACAGTAGCCCTTTAATACACAGGGTTTTTTTAATAAGGAATTGCCACCTTTGCTCCATAAACTATTTTAGTATTGTAAATTTGTTCAGTAAAAACCCCATTTTTATTTCAGTAAAATAAATGCATATTGTTATCATAATTTAGTGTCTGTATTTAGGGTGTGGCACAGTTTTGTTTGTGTGAATTTTTTTGTTTTGGTACGGAATAAAGGCATTTCAATATTCTAACTTCTCTTCCATTGTTTTTCTATTAATAGGACAGTAGCAGTGTAAGCTGTTGCAGGTATATAAGTTTGAATATTGCCAGTATAAGCTATCTCAGTAATGCTGTTTGCCTGTGGCACGAGTCCTGGTTTTCCAGAATCAAAATTACTAGATCCCGCATACCAGTTTGAAATGCATATGCAGCGGTCTTGGTTTCTCGTAGCTGATTGGTCGGTGGGAGTTCCTGCCAATTTAAATGCGATAGCAGTGACCAGACACAATTACTGGTAGCTGAACAGCCATTGGGAGTTCCTGTTAAATTAAATGTTAGCAGTGTCCAGACTCAATTACTGGTAGCTGATTAGCCAAAAGGCGTTCCTGATAATTATAAATGCAATTGCAAGTATTCTGCTAATGTAGAGCTGTTTTTGTGGGGAAATCCATTAAATTGAAATGTAAAATAATTCTTTTTTTTTTTTTAATGGAATTCAGTTTTACTCCCTAAAGCAATTTTGACTCCAATACAACCATGAATTCCAAGTAAATTCTTAGAACATGTCTGTAAAAACAATGTCATTCTAAAGATTTTTTTTAAAACAAAAAACATTGCCTATTGCCTTATCTTAAAAAGCATGCTTTTTTGAGGGAATATTGCAGGCAAAATTACCAACCATGTTTTATAAAAATTGACTTCCAAGATTTTCATATTATTGTACCTGTAAGTATAACTGAAAAAAATTAAACCAAATTTTTTTATATGAAGACAAATACAACCCAGAGAATTAACAATTATTTTATAATATACAGTGGGGGCTTTTGTTAATGATATTCACTTTTCAGGAACAAGTTTTTAAGTGTTTGCAGCATAACCTTATAATATGGAGACGCATGCGCAGCAGCAATATAGTTACAAGGAATACTGTAAAATGATTTTAACCTGATTTCGCATCCAACAATGGCAGGAGATTTTATAGGTGACATCTGTTGTCTGTAATTACATCAACATGTCATGATTGCCAACATCATGGCCTACTAACCAGAGAAATCTGCAAGATGCTACTGCAATAGTTAAAACTTCTAGAGTGTGTATAACCATGTTCATCTACCAGATTCTGAACTTGGTAAGTTTTAGAGGTGTTTGTGCTCCGAGTGCCTGCTTTCAATTTCAGCGAAATAGTTATTCTAAAGCTCTGCTCAGAATTCCTTAGTCAAACTACCCTTTTACCTGGTCGGTTTGACGAAAAACTCTCCACACCGCATGTACAGTTATTTTAACCACTCAACCTAAGAACACAGGCTTAGGCTAGCCGAACGACGTCGCTTGGGTATAGATTTGAAATATATACAGTACACAGGAATGACTGGCCTATCTAATTTTATTGTCAATATACTCTAATTTTTAATCTTTGATTTAGGCCAACCTTGTGGGTAAAGAGTTGCTACCCCCATGGAGGTATAAAATTTTTATACCTCCATGCTACCCCAGCCCATACTATCAAGTAAATAGTAAACTGGCATGGTAACGGTGGTGTAATGTCTATGCGCTTTTGTGTGGCGGTTAGCAGGGCTCTGACCCCAGCCTACCTATGGAATCCTTGATCTAGCACCCTTACCCAAAAGGGCTTTGTTGATATGTAACTGCATAATGTCTCTTGAGATCGACTGTAAGACATGCATGATTATTATATAATAAGGTAAGAACTTATATAGCGCCATTTAAAAAACCGAAGTAATTATCAGTGGCGCTTCATGTATCCAGTTGCGGATTAAAGGGGGTCATGTCGGCCTTGGGTCCCACAAAATTTCCCGATTGTTTTGAATAAGAGGAATCGCATTTTTGGTCTCGAGTGTCATTTCCAGCCATTTAGAAGTGCCATAATCATAAATTTTCTTACCTCAGCCCTAACCATGGTGGGGTCGTGGTGGTATAGATCTGTGAAATCCATCCCTGCCCCATTCATTTCCTATTTCAATTACCTTGGTCTGCAACTGATATATAATTTATATATAACAATCTAGAATACGATGACAAATATTAGAAAAATGAGCAACTCAATCGAATTGGCGACCAGATCAAAAAGGAGCCCCAGTTCAAGAAATCCACAGGGCCTCGGTGCCTATCGTTACGACACAAATGGGTATGATTCCAGTTCAGAGTGCATCAGGCTTTTTGGCCGTTTCAAAATACAGAGGCCTCCAATCTTGGGTAAATCTGTAGGTTTTGATCGAAAATTTGCTCACAGGTTCACAGGTCCCCTGGTTCAAACGTTACACCACTGTATGATTGTGGATATGTATGGTTGTTGTGTGAGAATGTATTTACGAACTTGGCTCTTGTTTGATAACTAGTTTGCAGAAGAATCATGGCAGTGCATGTCCCATTTCTTAAAACCACATTCAAAATGTGGTTTTTGAACAGAATGTTCTTGTAACAGTACAAAAATTTAAAAAAAATAAAAAATAAAAATATAATTTCTTATAGCGTAAGGGTAGTACAAAGTGTGTAAGAGTAATGTAAATAAAATTGATGAGCCTTATAAAATTGACTGGATAAAGCATGTCGTACGTAAGTATGATGGTAAGTACTTCCAAGGTAGGCCTACTAGTGCTGCAATAGAGAATGATTGATCATCTTAAGATGTTTGTAGCATCTGCTAAAATGGTTTGTAAAATTTAACCTATTGAATATAATGTTCAGGGATTTTGAACTGTGGCGTATTCAGCTATTTTTCGTTTCAGGTTAAGTAATGTGCTTTGTGGATGGATAATTAAAGAAAACCGTATACAAATCAGCTTTGTTTTGTCGTTATTATAGCTTGCTGTTTAAATATGTAGTTAAAGGTGTGGTGTTGAGTTTTAATTTGTGTATTTTGGCTTGTGATAAAATGAACCTGCTACCAAGTCCCGCCTATGAATATACAGCGTAAACCACTTGATCTCTACTAAAACAGCTTGATTGCTCACTGGCTGGTTTTTGTGAAGTCCAAAACGTCACAAATACGTCATTATAGCGCTTTTTTGAACAGAAGCGCGAGTGAAGTTGCGTTGTTATAGTGACGTCGATCACTAACAACGCAATTAACTTCGCTTGTGCTTTTTTAAACTGCATGAACTGTCGCGTCGAGTGGTTAATGATTTGAAATAACCATTACGTTTAATCTAAATAAAATATTTAAAAAAATATGCAAGTATGTTATTTTAACAATACCTATAATTGAAACAAATGCCAAAAGAAACTTGTCTAAACTGTTACCGTCACGTAGGGCCCCCAACATGGCGTCAGTGGCCTTACTAAAACCAGCCAATGAGCAATCCAGCTATTATACAATTTTAGTAGATCAGTGGTCTCTGTGCGTGGTTCGAATGACTTGAATGTAAGGGCGCCCTCTTCCAGACATTTTTGCAAGCGGAACTTAACAAGAATAGTAGATACTGTAGTAGAAAGTCTCGTAAACTTTTGATTAAGATTTCAATATTGTACAGACAACATGGTTGTTGGTAAACCATGCCCGAGTTGCAAAAACATTTCCGATGGTCGCAAGATTGCTTCTGACTTAAAGAAAGGCGTACTTTGGTTAAGCGCTTTTTGAAAAATAGTGGTAAGTACTTCTACATAGCCGTCCTACAAAGACTCGAGACGCACCCAGATAAAAACAATTGTCAAACCAAAACCTACTGTAGAATCTACTCTCATGATTGCAGTGTCTCCGGGGATTGATAAGATCATTAAAATTAGGCAGAACATAACAGTAGCACGACGTACCAGTTAGTTACCTTGTACATAAAATAAGCTTTTCTTTTTTAATTCGTTTTGGCCTTTTTGTGAGGAATGGGGACGTAGGCGTAATTTTTTAAATTATTAACCCAGTCAACCTCGCTCGTGCAGAAGTCAGAGATTCGTCATTGTTTTATTCTTTTTACATTTTAACGTTTCAAAATCACGCGAGTGTACTAAATTGTCATTACAGTACTGTAAAAAATTAATCATCTGCACACGATAAAGAAATGCATAGAATATTTTGTTTTGCCGAGTAAATAAAAATCGAAACAGTTTATCACAGCCACTTCATATTCGACTGAGGTTGACTATAGGAATACAACCGCATTTCTTAGTTGAAAAAATTGCCTTGTGTCGCCAAAGAATAAGGAGTCTGAAAGTCGTCGCCAATAGACCTTTCCGGAGTGTCAAACAAACTTAACAACTGACTAATCAGAACAGCGCTAGAATACGCGCGCGTCTTACAAACACACGTGTTGTCACCATAGAGATATAATAGCTCTATGGTTGTCCCACAAAAGCACGTGTTGAATTGCAACTACAGTATCTTGAGAAACAGAGGGAGTTGGTACCAATCATCCAACGCTGAGGGAAATGTTCATTGCCTCCAGCATAATTCGAATTTTTGATTTTTTTTTTACCCTAGATTCCTCTTGCCGTTTACAAATCTACTTATCAGGGCAAGATTGTTCAGAATTTATATACCAGTAGGCCTATAATATGATTGAAAAATACGGCCCACCCAATGCTCTGAAAGACTAATATTAATGTTCATTCAGGCCTATTGGCAGTGTAAAGATTTAATTGTCCTTAAGAAGCCTACATGCTGGGAAACAAGGAATACTGTACGCAGCATGACGCTGGTGACATGATGTGCGCTATCGAGCCATTATAAATAGTATAGCGATCGTGGTGCCATTTATCCCATTCGTTTCATCACTCGCTGCAGCTGACATACACTGTTACACGAATAGAAAAGTGATTATTGAAAATTGTACAAATCGCTGATGCGATTCGATTTAAATTAACAATGTTAGGTTTTCATAATACAGTAAATGTTTTAAATACGTGCCCATTCCCTGCTTTAGGCCCAGTGGTGGCTCTATGATAGCATGAGGCTGGGGAATTGCATTATAAAGGGACAAAGACATTTTGGGGAGGGGTAAATATCCCAAAGTTTGGATTACTGTCTTTTCTTCTTTTCATTCTTTATTGTTTATCCTGGGGGACCGCTCAGGGATAAAGT